AGCACATGATGAGAAAGAATGTTTCAAAAAATATTGAAGTAAGAATCTAATTGTTTATATGAAATGAGAATCCATGTACCTATGCTACTCTAGACTGTCAAATATGCACAATATTTGTATAGACAATATAAAAGAAAATTTGTGAAGTAGAGGTCTCCTTGAAGTGCACATTCAACTCCCTAAATTGTCATGAGTTCTCATTCAGGTCATGGTACTTTTAAATTGTACATTCAGTTCCCTAAACTTGTTCCAACTTCTCATCCTGGTCCTTATACTTTCAAAATACACACTCAACTCCCTAGACTTATATTATTGTACCATCCCGGTCCATCCCCTTCCCACACACTACGTTGCATGTGCCCACCACACTCGTGTGGCCACGGCACACTGCATCGTGTTCGTCCACCCACAGTGGTGTACCGCACGGGGGCCAGGACGTGCAGTAGGAGCTTATTATGAGGGATGTGCAGACCTAGCTTCCTAGGACCTGCTATGTCACTTGGTCGTGCTTGCCATACCGCACGTCCCAACCGAGCCTTCGCCTCCTCCTTGATTTTGCTTGACTCTCTCCTGCTCCACCTCACCGTGGCACCGGCCCCCACTTTGCAGCAGTCACATTAAACACCACCATGGCCACCACCGAACTCCTTCCTCTACATTATTGCCATCTCCTCGCACTCAGCTCCCCACGCTCTTAGCCTTCCTCACCTCCATCGACAGTGGCAAGGTCATCCCCTACAACTTAGTAGGGTCAGTGTAGAGCGTGACATGGCGGCGCAAGTGGTCATGGCATGGTCTAGCATGGCAACATGGGTGTGACACCACACCGATAATGCAACATAGGCAGGCGCGGGGTAGTTGGGCGAGCATGGTGCAGCACTACATGGGTATGTGGGTAAAGCTGGCATGTGTAGTGTGGCGGAGGTGAGGACGGTGGTGCGAGGCTAGATGGACCATAATGGAACAATAATACAACTTTAGGGACCTAAGTGTGCAATTTGGAAGTACTAGGACTTGGATAAGAACTTGAGACAAGAATAGGGAGTTGAATATGTAATTTGAAAGTACCGGGACCTAGATGAGAACTCGAAACAAGTTCGAGGACCACCAGTACAATTTACTCATAACTAAATTAAGCTAGATATAAATCAGAAGAAACATGGTAATGAAATGAGAAGAAATGCATATACCTAAGTACTCGACCTCCTGACTGGTGCACTTAGAGTATTAATGGGTGAGGTCATCAAGGTCCCACTGTTGTGAACGCTGCCGCTGCTTCTTCATGGCCAGGTCTGGCTGTCTGGTTGCCACAACGGTCACCATGGTCAGGGTTGGCAAGCGGCAGAGGAGAATCATGAAAACGTCGTCAAAGCCTCAAAGGTGAGGGGATTGGATATGTGTTGGGAGGAAGATGACGACCATGAAGGAGGGTTGGAGGGGAACGTAAGGAGTGAAGCACCCATGGGGCCACGACTCATCGGTTGTGAGTTATCGAAAGTTGTTGACCTCTCCTACCATGTTGTTATGGCATCCACGTCTCCCTCTCGACATTGATCCATGATGATGATGAGGACTAATCACCATGTGACCTTCAGCCATCTACCCCATGGATTGAGATTCACTAACTTGTGTCTCTGTAAAGGGAAATGCAACACTGGGAGGGGAAGAATGAAGTAGCTACAAGGGGTCGAGGAGCAGAAGCGTGCAAGCACTGGGAAAGGAAGGCGCGGGAGGGCGGCGATTATCCAAACCCTAGTGTCAGACGGTGCACGAGGGAAAATGTGAAGAAAAAGTGTGGACCAATAACCGGAAGAGTTCCATGGTGGTTCAGTACTTCAGTGTGCTTTGCATCATGGAAGAACATGTTTCCTAGCTCTCGCTCGAGAGAAGCCCAGGTCCTAAAGCCGTATGGTTGACTAGCTGTAAGCTTTTAGAAAAGCAGCTCGCAACAGCCCCACATGTCATACACGACCCCACATGTCAATCTCTCTGTGACTCCTCCCTCATCTTCTTCGCTAGCCACCGGGAATAGGACACATGATGGCACACTGACGGGGATGGCCCGCGCGTCGGAGGTCGTGCTCATCGGGAGCAGGGCCCGTGCTCACGTGGGGGCAAAGGTGCTCATCGGGAGCAGGGCGGGGAGGAGAGGACCGGGGCGAGGGAGGCGCGCGCACCTGCCCAGCACTCGCCGGAGCAGGGAGGGAATGTCGGAGCAGGGAGGGAGGGAGGCATCACCGAGGTCAGTGCCACTCACCCGCTGTCGCTGGGAGGAGCATGTTGTGGCTGTGTTCGTGCGACTGGAGGCCGCTCGTCGGCGCGAGTAGAGAAGCTCGTCGCGGGAGGAGGAGGCATCCGCCGCCTAAATTGGTGCCATTCAACCGCAAGAGGCAGGGCCAGCGAGATGCGCTGCCAGGAAACACTAGCACGGCAGCCTCTTCCACTAGCGTGGTCGGGGCTCTCGCGCAGACGAGGGAAAGGTCGAGAAGGATCGACCCGTTTTCTTCGTAACCAAAGGCAATGCAGGTAATTTTGCACGCCTACAGCTGGTGAAAGTAGCTCTTCCCTTGCCGGGGAAAATGAACTACGTAAAAACTGGCTTTGGCAAAAGCTGTTAGACTAGCAGGTGCCCTTTGGTTGGCAGCAGCTCTTTCCCTGCTGTGGAAAATGAACTCCGTGAAACCTGGCTTTGGCAAAAGATGTTGGTCTAGCAGGTGCCCTTTGGTTGGCTTTTAGGCTTTTGGAAGCAAAAGCTACAACAATAAGCCAAATCAAGTAGGGCCTCAGACCAGTGAACTCTCAACATTTTAGGGTTGTATACGTGGCCTCTAAATATACACAAAGCTCAATCCCAAATGCAACATTGGGGCTTCCATGTCATAGGCCCAACACATTCTTTTATTCGTACAAAGCGCATCCAAAAGCTTAGCCTTTTGGTTTCGATGTCACAGGCCCAACGAATGTTTTTTTATAACACTGGTTAGTATCACTAGATGCCGCAAATCTATTTGTCATAATGTAATGTCATAGACGGGTTATTACCCTATAAGTATTGATTTCATATATGTTATTACCATATAAAGTTTGTTGGCCAAATTTACGATAAAATCTATTTTAATTTTTGAAAGTTATAGATATCGTTTTTCGTTTTATTTTGAGATGGAGAGAATAGCCTAGGTTTCCTTATTTACGCCCAACAAAATTTTCATTGTGATTTGGTTGGCGTGCGCCAGCTCGAACAATCGGTAATGCTGGGAACGGGCATGCGTGCGCCCAGACGCTCCGTTGGTGGGGCGCGCGATGCTAGCCCAAGACTCCCGCTCCTCCATTTCTAAATAAAAAAATCCGCTCGTCCACGTACTCGTTCCTATCCGCTCACTTGCTCCTATCCGCTCAAGTGCCGCCTCCAGTGCTCGGCCACTGTCCCAGCCAAGCGCGGCACGCGACCACCTCCGAGGCGCACCGCTCGGTCGCTGACCCTGCCAGGCCATTCTGACGCGCCGCCGCCGCCATCCCCGCCGCGCCTTTGTCCCCCGCCTCGCCATGCCCGTCATCCACTGCGCCCAGGGTGCGCTGGCCCAGGTCGCCAAGGAGGTGATCGCCCAGGGGTGCTCGCGCAGATGCTCGCCCAGGGTGCTCGCGCGCCTCGTGCAGGTGCTCACCCAGACTACCCAGCAGGTGTTGCCCCAGGCCACCTAGGGGCGCACCAACAAGCTCCATGCGCGCGGCGGCGACGAGTTTCACGATTCGTCCAAGCATCAAGGTGAAATTGTGCATCGAAAAAGCATGTTGCAAGAGTATGTTTCAAGTGTTTCGGATGTTTCATCTGGATGTTGCAAGTGTTTCATGTGGATGTTGCAAAAGTAGATCGAGATTTTGCATATGTTGCAACAGTTGTACACATATGTTGCAAGTGTCTATCCCCAATTTTATTTGTTTTTTGTACACGTATGTCGTAAGTGTTTCAAACGCATATCTCAAGTGTTTCATCTGTCTTTTTTTTATGTTGCAAATGTTGCATCTGGATGTTTCAAAAGTAGATCGAGATGTTGCATATGTTGTAATGGTGTTTCAACTGTATGTCCTAAATGTTTCATCTATTTCAGGCATATGTTGTAAATGTTTTATCTGAATTTTGCAAAAGTAGATTTTGAATATTGTAGTAGGACCCACCTACCATAGTAGTTGGGCCCGCGTGCATACGTGTGGGAGCGGAGGGGGGCGAGCGGTGGGTGCAAGAAATGAGAGCGGGCCTAGATCGAGGCATGCGCTGGAAACGAAGCGGCGTGGGTCCCCACATGAAGCACGTAGGCGGGCCGGCGCGTGGACAGACGCAGCTGACGCGAGCGTTCGGACACTAGCGCCCGTATCAGACGTCCGGACGCTAACAGTTCCGTCGAAGCAAAGGCTCTAGTGGCAAGCCACTACAGCGAGCTCTTCCCATAAAAATAAAGTTAATATCAAAGTGGACACATGGTCCAAATATATCAGATATTAAATTAAACTATAATAAAAACAGATACTTGATCTTAGTCAAAAGACCGAGAAAGATATGAACTGCAACAAGGCCGGTCTCATTTTTATACCTTTTCTCCGGCTCTGTTCGCTCAAAGCTGCCTAGTTGGAAAGTTCAAAAAAAAAAACTGCCTAGGTGGGACTAAACAAATGGTTAAGCCCGGTTTAGTGCAGCGCAAATGCGTTGCGTTTGGTTAATTGGGCTCGTAATTTACCATCCCAACGTGTCGGTCGCCAGTCGCCACCGCATTACTAGTTGGGCCAAACGTAGGCCCACACGGAGAACAAACTGTATGCGTCTCCCTCGACGGCCCACGTGATGCCTCGGGCCTCCAACAGACAGATTGTGTGGGTCCCACCTTCCGTGGACACCAACCACAGCACGAATCTCACAGCTTCGTGTCGTCTCCTTTTCCATCTCCATCCAGTCTCGCTTTCGCTTCTCCAGAATCTCCAGCCACCGCCGCAAGGAAGAACCCTTTCTCATGGCGGCGGCGGCGGCGGCGGCGGCTGGGGAGGGAGGAGTAGGAGGAGACAACAGCGCGGGCGACCTGTTGCGCATCTTCGTGGGTGGGCTGGCGGAGAGCGTGGGCGCGGCCGACCTAGAGGCCCTGTTCGCCTCCGCCGTTCGCGTCGCCGGCGTCGAGTTCGTGCGCACAAACGGACGCAGCTTCGCCTACGTCGACTTCCACTGCCCCAACGACAAGGCGCTCGCCAAGCTCTTCTCCACCGTACTCAGCCCCACTACCTCTTACCCTCTTACCTCTAATTCTTATACCCTTCCCTCGTAACTAATACGCCTATGTTCAGATGAATGCACGTTTTCTTTAGCAAAAAATTAGACAAGTTCAGCAGAGAATAGATAGTCGGAGATTTTGGTGTCTGCTACCTGTTTGTTGCTCTGGGGTTGTCTGAGGCTTATGACATTTTGTGTGCAGTACAATGGGTGCAAATGGAAAGGAGGGAAGCTCAAGCTGGAGAAGGCAAAAGAGCACTACCTCACTCGCCTTAAACGAGAATGGGAGCAGGATGCGACTGCAGCGGCGTCAAAGGAAGCTGCGCTGAAAGATAATGCAGAGAACCAGAAGCCGAAACTAGACAAGGCTGCTTTGGAGGGCATGAAGATTAACATCTACTTCCCAAAACTGAGGAAGGTGAACAGTTGTTTGCGTCATGTGCTAGGTTTGGTCTGTTGTGTCAGTTATTTTAGTCAGTACATGGATCCAAGTAGTGTTAGACTATTGATTTGTATAATGCTCCTCAATATGGCTTGATATTTGAATTGCTCAGTTGCACGGAGTTTTCTATATCGCGTTTGATTTTTGAGTTGTGCTTCTAGTTATACACTCTTCCAAGAAGTGGAAAAGCACAAATTTTAAATTATACAATTGGTTGCATTTCATATTAACACCAGGTTATCTTACCTGTATCGTTTTGTAGGGTGTGAACTGATTCTCTAGCACTGCTTTTTTTCTTCTTCAAATGTGTGAAAATATAGGCAGGTCTAACTTATAGAGTGGGTGTTGCTTAAATACTGAATAGATCTTTGCACCAGGACTGCGACAAAAATAGTAACAGAAAGTATCAGTTGCCTAAATCTGAATAAATGTTATGACTGCATTGTGTAATACATAGATCAAGACGGGTGGAGGGCACGCATTTTCTATTTAAATGGTTATTCAGTATGCTAAAAAATGGCGTGAGTTCTCTTTAATCAGTTATACGCTTTTACAGGTGAAAGCTTTGCCATTGAAAGGCACAGGAAAGCATAAATACAGTTTCCGACATATTGAAGTTCCTTCTTATCCTATTCATTTCTGTGACTGTGAGGAGCATTGTGGACCTCCTGAGGAAGCTAATAATGAATATGCTTCTGTTCTTAATGCTGCTGCATATGAGAAGGAACGTAACATTATGAATTCTGTGATGAACAAGCTTTTTGAGAAGGAAAATGAACATCTTGATTCATGTGAAGTGGAGAAATTTGATGGTCATACTGACACCATTGAACCCTCTGATGCTGTGAATGACATGCAAATTGAAGAAACGGAAGAGGCTCCAGAGGTGGATCTGGATGACTTGCCAATGGAAGAAACAGAAGAGTCTTCAGACGAAGATTTAGATGATGACCTTGTGATTAACATTGCTCCCCGCAAGTCCAATAAATCAGCAGTTCGAGCGAACATGGAAAAGCAGGAAGTGAATCAGGTAAGCATTTTGCAAGTACTTATTGAGCAATTTGCACATGGTTTCCAAATCTATGAGCAATTATATGCATAATCATGATCATCATAATTTCATTTATACGCAGGACTCACAGTTACAAAAGCGTCCAAGGATTGAAGAGCCTTCCCTGCCGAAAAAGAGGCAGAAATCTGAAGCCTCATCTGAACCTATAAAAAGGAATGGAGAACATGTTTCGGTTATTTCAGACACTAGAACCGCAGGCAAGACTTTGCCTGCAAAATCAGAAGCCAGCCAAAATGAACAAAAGTCTCTGGGTTTGAAAGGAAAAGGAACATATGAGTTCTCTTCAGCACTCCCCAAAGATAAAAGCTCTACAGGTTCTCAAGGCATTATGGCTCTAGCAAGTTCTTCTACCAAAAATGAAAGTGCACAAAATATTGGTTCTACTGAACCTAAAAAAGGTTATTCATGGACTCAGAAATCAGCCTGGAGAGATCTTGTAGGGGGCATGGGGAGCACATCTTTCAGCCTATCACAGGTGTTACCGAACAACAATTCAGCACCAGCAGTACTTTCAAATGTTACTGGTAGTGAGAGATCTTCAAAATCCTTGGAAGCTACAACACAACTCTCATCTGAGCAGAGGTTGCCGAGTTCCATGGGAATGCTGTCTACCGGCACTACAGATGAGTCAACAGGCGATGCCATTGGTGGTGAGCCTAAGGAGAGCAATAAGCTGCAAAAGGTGCGGGTGGTCCCAAAGATCACCATTAGTGAAGTTTGCCCTTTCATGAGAAGCACAGAGTCACAAAAGCAATGGTCAAAGGCAAAGAAAGTTATAAGTGGGTTTGCGAAGAAGGGAAACGAGAGCAGCGCCGGAAAGGGAAAGCCATCGAATAAGCAATAAAACTGTTGTTTTCTGGGCTGTAACTCATTGATCAACATTTCAATACTATCAAAATCATAACCACAGCTGTTGTATTACGATGACTATTACATAGCAATCGCGTTTTTTTTTTTTGTGTGTGTGTGTATAAGAGCAATCAAAATTTCTTATTTCTCTGCGTGTTGTGAACACTTCCTTGCAACACGATGGACCTCTAAACTCGAGGATTATTAATTTTCTATGATATGATCGATACAATTCTGCTAATGTCATAAATTCAGTGTCCTGGTCACCACCCCATTATTTCCGGTTTTTTTTTTTTGTCTATATAGTAGGAAGGGTTTGGGATTTTTTTGGTATAGCTTATAAACTATTTATGACCAAAATAAGTTGAAACTTGAGGCCAAATGACATATTGGGCCAAAATAAGCAAAAATTTTAGTCCAAAATAAGCTGAAATTAGAAGCTAAACGATATACTTTTTAGGGAGAATTATCTATTTGGCACTGAAACAAATCAGTGTTTTGTATTTGGCACTCAAAAATTTGAACTTTCCTATTTGGCATAAGTTAAAATTTTCTTTCTTAAATGGCACTGCCATCCATCTACGACAGTAACGGTGTCAAGTGACTGACAAAATGATATAAATACCCTTGTTTGCAGCAGAAACCCATGGTGACAAATAGGGGAAAAAAATAAATAAACAGGTTATCAAATAAAGAAATCATAAAAGGTTATTTGAATTGGTGACATTACAATTTTTACGAATTGAAAATAAACCATTACTATTTAGGCCAGTATAATTCCATTGATGTTTGAAATCTGTCTTTTTAAACTTTTTATAGACGTTATATAGAGCCCATCGTAAGGTTAAACTGCCCTTCTACTTATTATCTAACATGTGGGCCCATGTGACATCTTCCTTTCTTCCTCCACAGAGTCCCCACAGGACGAGCGCGTCTTGACCAGCCAGAGCGAAGCACGCAGCGGCGCAGGCGTAGGCTGGGCTAGCGCCGCGGGCGCTGCGTGAGCGAAGCTCATCGCAAAGATGCTAGCTCGCTCGCTGCCGCCAGCAAGCAAGCAAGCAGCCTTGCCGCGCCGCGCGAAGCTTTGCAGCATGCGAGAGGTCTTATGCACGGCGCGCCAACACGGAGGCGGGGCACACGCGGGCGCTGGCTTCGGCTCGGCTCACTGCGCATCTCCGCTTTCGGCGGCGGAGCATCACGGTCTCAGCGGTGGTGCGCCACGATCTGTCTTGGCGGCAATGAGGGCGATGGCGCGACGAAGCTCCCCGGCGGCATGCCCGGTAGAGACGCGAAAGCAAACCTCCAGCGCATAGCGAAGCGCTCCTCAAGCGGCGGCGAGCAAAGACGCGAAAGCGAGTTGCAGCGTGGCGCGCGCGCGGCGAGTGGTGGTGGCGACGAGACGAGACCAGCGGCGGCGCAGGGCGGGCACAGCCGGCGCAACCGAGGCGTGGCCGAGTGGGGCGGGCGCAGGCAGGCGCGGCCGGCGGGCGAGCGCGGTGCGGCTAGAAACCGGTGGTTTCTTCCCATGAAAGGCCCGGAGATTCACACGACGACGGTCAAGAGCTAAGGGCTGCTCATGCGCTCGATGCTCTCGCTGCGGGGAAGCGGTGGCGCCGGCGCGGCCCCATTCGCCGAGAACGCAGCGCGCTGAGGGCTGCACGCGCTCCGTCGAGTGGCTCCCCGTCGGCCCTAAGGAAGACGGCGCCGCGCGAGTCTCTTCGCGGCAGCAGCGAAGGCGATCGATGCGCGACGACAATGACGGCCGCCCGTAATCTGCGCGTCGTGGTCCGCGGTGGTGGCAGCTCTTGGCGTCGCCCGAGACGCGCATGCGCGCGCCGCCAGATGAATCTTGCTGATCTTGTGGCTTGCAGCAGCAGCGGCAGCAGTGACCTGAAGCGCGGTGGCTCGCGCGCACTGTGCGCCACGAATCTGCAAGCTCGGCCCGGTCCCCATGGGCGCCACGCCGGCGGCCGGCGAGCTCATCCTCGGCAACCGCGGAAGGCGCGCGGGCGAGCTTGGCCCATCTGCAATGGAACTCCTCCAGGTCCGTGTAGCAGCAACAGCAGGTCCATGTCAGTGCCGAGCCATGGCAACGCGGGCTCGGGCGTGGCGGAGCTCCATGGCTTCGCTGCGGAGGCGAATTGTAATTCCCTCATGTTTGGCCAAATTCCACCAGTCTTTTCCATCTAACATAGGGGTACATTGAACATAGGGAGAAAAAACTGACTTAGTTAAACCAGTCAACTAACAGATAACCAATGAAAATGAACGGCAGTGTCATTTAAGAAAGAAAATTTTAACTTCATACCAAACTCGAAAATTCAAATTTTCGAGTGACAAATACAAAACACTGATTTATTTGAGCGCCACGTAGATAATTCTCGCGTAAGTCCTATTAAACAGGGTCGAAGGGTTGCTTTGTAAAGGTAGTTGCACTGGGCGATAATTTCTCGCGGGATCATGCGGGGGACCGTTAAAACTACCATCTCTCTCTCAACCTCTAGTTATGGACGTGATCTCTCGGCCTCCCATTCATTCATCCCCGTGATACTGCAGCTTAATTCCGATTAAATTCTAGATCTGCATTTCAAAGAGGTATTCATTCTGTTTTTTACCATTGAATAAAGAGATTATTAAGTAATCTTATATACTACTCTTGTTCTAATTGGGTTTCAATCTTTGGATCAGGAGATGGCTACGGACAGTGCCGATTCCCAGAGGCTCTTGCTTGGGCGTCAAAACTCACATCAGGTTCTAATGATGTGTATCTCTGTGTAAATTCTTTGACCGCAATCATGTCATCATCGTGTTGGCCCTATTGCTTGCATCATCACTGCGTGCCTGATAAGCAATTAGTACAATTTCAATATTGCATCATCAATCAATCATATATATTTTTCTGAATTACAGGAGATCATGGATCTGAATAATGAATTATTTTTTCTTTATTGACATAATTGGCCTTATATATGCCCTTATGGGCTATGGCCTTATCAAAAATTGACTCGTAGAGAGTCCAATTTTTTGCTTGGTATATCTCCACACTTATTCACTAGATTTATCTCCACTGGTTTTCCTATAGAACAGGCTGATGGAGCAGATGAGTTCGAGGACAACAATCTTGCTGCACCAGAACCTTTGTCCCACAATATCGGAGCAAGTTTCCAAAGGAATCCAAGCTCTACAAACTCGGGTGTATTCGGAAGCCTGAAGATTGTGCTGCTGAAATCTAAGCTCAATTTGCTTATACCATGTGGATTCTTTGCAATCCTGATCAATTATCTCAGCCAAAATAAGGTTATTTCATACACAAATCTTCTTCTACTACTACTACTACTTGAATACTTGTACTTTTTTTTTGGTCTTTTACTGATTTTGTTACTTTGTTTCTCTGAAGGCCTGGGTATTTCCTCTGAGCCTGTTGGGTATCATTCCTTTGGCTGAGCGATTGGGTTTTGCTACCGAGTAATCTGTTCTCATAATTTTCCTTCATACTTGGTGTAATCTTCTTGGTCAAGTTTGACTATTTACTTCTTGATGCAGGCAGCTAGGACTCTTCACTGGCCGAACAGGTCTCATTCAGCTCCTCTTCTTCTGAAGAATTCTGAACTGAAATGCATTGCATTTGCAAACTTTGGTTGACTGTGACCACTTCTTATCGCAGCTGGGGGCCTCCTGAATGCTACATTTGGCAATGCCACCGAGCTGGTCATATCAATTCATGCGCTGCGGAGCGGAAAGCTACAGGTGGTTCAGCAATCTCTCCTCGGATCAATCCTGTCAAACACGCTGCTGGTTCTTGGCTGTGCGTTCTTTGGTGGGGGGCTCACCTGCGGCAAATCAGAGCAGATTTTCAGAAAGGTGCCCGTCGTCCTTATCAGTTCGCAGGTTTACATGGTACAGATAGATACTGATCCGTTGTTGCATTGACAGAAAGATGCAGTGCTGAACTCTGGGCTGCTCTTGATGGCTGTGATGGGGCTGGTCTCTCCTGCTATGCTGTACTATACTCACACCGAGGTTAACTTGGGCAAGTCAGCACTGGCACTGTCAAGATTCAGCAGCTGCATAATGCTTTTTGCTTATGCTGCTTTCATTTTCTTTGAGCTGTCCAACAGTCGCCGCAGAGACGAATCTAGTGAGGCAAGCAGGATGAGTTCATTCTCTTAAATTCACTGTTTTATTGTTATTGATCCCTTTGCAAGTTTCTGAGGTGCTTGTCTGCATTTGTACCACCAGGGAGGAGGTGGGGATCAAGGGGACGACGATTGCGAATACGCATTTCCTGAAATTTCTATGTGGGAAGCCATTGCTTGGCTTGCAATTTTTACTGCTTGGATCTCAGTTTTCTCTGACTTTTTAGTTGATGCAATCGAGGTATTATATTTCACTGATGTGATGGATGATTTTTATGGCACTTATTTTATCTGTCACAATTTTTAGCAAACACTTTGTTTTGTCGGGAAGAGATTTTGTGTGAACTGACACTGCAAGCTGTTTGCAGGGAGCTTCCAAGGCTTGGAAAATACCAGTTGCGTTCATCAGTACTGTTTTGCTTCCAATTGTAGGGAATGCTGCAGAACATGCCAGTGCTGTTATGTTTGCAATGAAAGACAAATTAGTAAGCAGTAGCTTGACATTGTTAATATCTTTAATGACTTCTTTTACTGTAATTTTTTGAGACTCTCATTTGTCTTTTATAGGACCTTTCCCTTGGAGTCGCCATCGGGTCTTCGACACAGATATCCATGTTTGTGGTGGGTTGTTCAACTATGTGCTGCTTACTACCATTCGTCTAAATCATTTAGAAGTAGATTGGGCTGTGCTTCACCTGTCATTATTTAGCTATTAGTTCTTAAGTGCTGCTCATAAAGGACCTAATCATCTTGATTTTTTAGATACCATTTAGTGTAGTGGCAGGATGGATGATGGGCCAGCCAATGGACTTGAATTTCCATCTGTTTGAAACCGCCAGCCTCTTGATAACCGTACTGGTTGTAGCACTTCTGTTGCAGGTACTGAATAAACACAGTTGAGGAACAGTGTTCCACTCTTGCAAGATTTGTTTGTTAAATTTTTCTTGTTAACATTATAGGATGGGACTTCGAATTGTTTCAAAGGGCTGATGCTAATTCTCTGCTACCTGATAGTAGCTGCCAGTTTTTATGTATATGCTGATCCAAATATTGATGGTAGGTTTCTCTCCTATCTAAATTGTTATTTCTGCGACAACAAGCTATGCACTTCTATCTTTTTCTTAAATCTCTAATTAAATGCCACATCTGAAGTGAGAAAGCTCAACAACACGATGAATTTGTATAATGTCCATTGGGAATTCTGTGCTGCAGGTGTTTAGCCTCTGCGAAACTAGTACCTTGATGTCGATGATGGGACTCTTCCAGTTTTCCGAAGAAACCTCCTCAAGGGCAAGGAGCTCCTGAGATTCACTTAAGAAAAAAAAAAGAATTGACTGACCTATTCAGTGTTCCTCACATGAAAAGGTCATTCAAGCACACCCACTGTTGTAGATATGCAGAAAATTATACAGGAAGTTCTACATAAATCTCCAGTTTGTGTAGGCAACAGTTTTGTTCTTGTGATACACGCAGAAATTGTAGAAATCAGAATCAATCTTTTTTTAATGAACAGCTGTCGTGATTTACAGGCAGTAATAAATTTAGTGACACATGAAACAGATCAATGGGCCGTTTCAAAAAAAAAAAAAAAAAAGAAACGGATCAATGGTCCTTTTCTGTTGCATTTTCATCTGAAAAGTAATCATATACATTGGCTTGAACTCTTTCAAGTACTAGGGATTATATGATACAAGAGAGAAGCATCTAGGCAGAAGTGCTAAATATTCTACAAGGTTAGAGAAGGAAAGTGCTTGTCGAGTCAACATTTTTTTTAACGTAGGCGAGTCAACATATTCAACTGTTCATAACGGCTATGAACATAGTGGCTCCTTCTCAAGATCAACCTGAGGCTTTGCTTTTTTTCTTGGTTATTCACTTGTGACTTGTGAGTCATTCCATGTCAGTATCTGATTTCTTTTTAATTTGGCAATGGAGCTGAAGAAGTTGTCCGCTTGCGTCTCGGGTTTCTCTTCCTCTGTAGATTCAGAAGGCTCTCTTTCTATTGAACTTGTCATAGCTGATAAGGAATTCCTTGCCTTCTGTTGTTCTAATATCTTCTGCAAATACTTTGCATGTTCTTCTATGCGCACCTGTAGCTGCCTTTGCACCTGATGACAAAGAAAATTTGTTTCATTGCTAGCCATGTAAATCTGAAATTTATACAGGACTTCTAAAGATAATTGTATTATACAGTATCAGCTCAAATTATTCATCCACCACTAGACTAAAAAATCACTGAGCTGGGTACTTACCTCTAATTGTTCATGAAGTTGTTTCTGAACCTCCATTTGCATCCGAAGAGCTTCTGCTAGTTGTAAACTCCTGACAAACGTAAAAAGCGATGTGAATTCAAATGGTTTTGAATTTGTTCATTCACACTGTAATGTGTTTGTACTAGGGGTGGGGGTGGGATGCTTACGTCTTTATGCCAGCATTGTTTCCTGGTATTTCTGATTTAGGTATCTTGTCTTCTGAAGAGGACTTCATGTCTTCATTGAGCATGCAAAAGAACCAATAAATTCATCAGGGTAAATTTTCAACACAAAGCAATTACCAGCACTTAAAGACATAGGCTTGAATTGCAACTTTAAGTTTCTGAAAATTTTACCTTCTTTTGTCTCTGGAAGATACTTGGCAAAACGATATTTCTGCATTTCCGGACAAAATGAACGAGTAGTACATCAGAAATGATGGCTATTTACAGGAGAAAGCGACTAAGCACGGGAAGAAATTCCACCCAGATACCTGCAAATGGCTCTTCACATGATAGATGGTCAAGCCTTCTACTTTCATAAGCTTCAACACACCCTTAGGAGTTGCCTCTACAAAATTTAAACAATCACTTGAATATCAAAACTGTGAATTTATTTAAATTTAACTAGAAAGAATGATCACCTGTCGACACAAAATTTTCGTTCTGCGCCGAGGACACATGCAGCAAGCCGGAAGGGTCTGCTCGATGGAGCTGTAGATCCGCCTAGCTTCAGCGCAGGGGTGATCGATCCTAGGCACTCCTCCCGAGACGTGCTAGTCAATTTGACCCTGTAATTGACAAGGAGAGAAAGTTCATCAGTAATTAAGGGCGAAACTTACCGGTGTTACCAGACAGTCCCGAATGTGCGGCTACGAGAGCCGATATGAAAGGAGATCGACTAAATAGCCGATTCCAGCATATTTATGAGAATAAATCGATTAAACCTCATTGGGTTGTATAAGAATAATCGGTTATCATTTAGGGCAAGTATTATTAATCGAACAGATATTAATCAATGACAATAAGATGTTAACAATGATCGGTTTGTGCTGAGCCAATGATTATAAGTAACCGAACCCTTTTTATATAAAGAAACAATTCAACATCACTTAACCATTTAATAAAGATAAATCTAATAAATATGTTAGATCTCATCCATCACTATGACCAGTGGGGCATGAGGTAGAATCATGCAGCCGTAGAAATAACAATAGATTCGACGACCCTAACTTATTACTAATATCAGTGAGGCATGAGACAGAATTATGCAGGCCGTAATACAATAATAAGATAATGGGGCTAACGTATCTTTCAACCTATCTTTACTTCAACGGTCTCGTGATGCAAACTGTTCGTGAAAGCGCTCGATATCAGCTAAAACAGCCGATTCAGGCATAACGCACAGTTAAAGTCATGCCTTATCAAGAATAGATATACCAGATAACGGTCCCCACTCCACGGTGCTAACAGTGGGGTGTGAGGCAGAATCACACAGGCTGTGATAACGGGCCATGGAACGGTTCTCGCTAGCTAATAAATCTACTCAAGACGCAACATGCCTTAACCGCATGCTATGCACGATCAGGATTGACATAAAACAGCCGATAAAACATAACTCATCGTTTAAGGTGTAGATTAGATCAATTTGAGGTTAGCAAACGATGGGCTAAACAAGATATAAGGCCGATCTAGATCAATCCCAATCGGGCAGAATGATATTGCTGTAATTAGATAAATAATGAAAGCAATAAGCAATATCGGTAACTTAATGAATCTACCAAAGATTGCTATCCTAAGGTAGAGCCGATAACTTAACCTTGATCTAGTTCATGCAGTGGGGGTCGACCGGATCGATGCAGCCATACTTGAACTAGACAAGAATCGATAACTAACTTATACCAGAGTCGTAATGGAGGTCGACCGGATCGATGCAGCCGTACGAATAGAGGTATAAGTCATGACGGTACTTACAACAAGCAGTGGAGGTCGACCAGATCGATGCAGCCATACTTGCTGAAGAACTCGCCGAGATCTACTCTGCTCCTACTCTAAAGGGTGGGCAGAGCCGAAAAGGTAAATAACTTGTATTTTGGATTGATTGATTGTCCTTTTTACAATAGCCGGGGTTTGGTATTTATACTCGGGCCCTGTGCATGACTCTTGTCTAAGCACGACTCATTACAATTTTTGACCCTAGAGAAAACATTCCTAATTTAAAATAACTTGGACTTTAATATTTTTCTTTTTTAAGAGTCCGGCATGTTTCGTCCTGGCGCCGAACGCAACCTTTGTTGTTATCCGTTGGCGCTATCTGAGGAGAGCCGATTCCAATTTCTGCATCCGAATCAGCTGTTTCCAATCTGCACGCAATTTATTTCTTGGTGACATGATCTTGAGAGCTTTCGAGTCCCTGTAACATCTTCTTCCAAATTTTGATGTAAACATCACCCAGCTTTCTGGTCCCCCAAGCTTGTTGACAGCCTTTACAAAAAGCTCATGGAGCTCCAGTGTCCATCTCAGTCTTGGCTTGTTACATGATGCAGCTCGAGATGAACTCAGCTGAACTTTAACAGGAGATCCTGTCCTCTGGAGGCCGTCTTGGTCAGAGTAAGACAACACCGGACAGGAAGAGGTTTGCGGCGGTCTGTCATATATATATCCTGATTGATCAAGAACAAGTGAAAAAAGGAATTCTTTAATTTGCAAGTGCTTAATATGGTAACTGATGGAACTATGGACTCACATCTAATTGAGGGCTCTCTTCGTTGTTGGTGACGGCAATTCCGAGCTGTTCAGACAAGAACTGAAACTCCATCTGCTCTCTGAAAGCCATGCCGTTAGCTTTCACCGTGGAAACTGTCTTCTGAAGCATCTCCAGAAAGGTTAAGAAAGTCCTTGAGATCAGCTGAATGTTCAGCCTCACGTTGACCACCATTGTTGAGGTCAGTACCAAAGAGCAGCGATGAAGAGCTGGATGACTGACCACCTGATGTTTGCTGCTGCTCACTTTTAGGAGGATGGGGCAGGAAAGGCAGAGCGTCTGCTTGCCGGCACGACTTGGAATTCGTCAACAACGACGATGAGTACATGCTTGTGCAGAATGTGGAAGAACTAGATGGTGATATCGGATCCGATAATTCAGCTTGAGATGCACCACAGTTATCGTATTTGGCACTGAGCAGCTGGTGAGCTGAAGGCTGGGGAGCAGTGCATGTGTGAGCCGTTCTGGCAGGGCCAGTGAATTGCTTCACAGCGATGATGCTCTGTGTGCTCATGATGCCTTCAGACTATTTTGGTCTCTTTGGTTATTCACCACTAAACCAACCTTGGTAGAACTGCTTGCTCCAAGCCTGCATAGTGAAATATCAGAGTAAGAACATGCAGTTCCAAAACCTATCAAATCATGTATTTCCGATACCACAATAGATCCCAAGAAAAATGAAGTCCAGAAATATGGATGCACAAGACCAGTCTTGTAAAATAGACTCTGTTTATATGCCTTTATGACTAAATAAAAAATGATGTTTAGAATAGTCTATCAGAAGAGCAAAAAATTCATAATCTAACAATAGTAACAGGATACCAAACTGGATAAAAGAGGAGCTGCAAATATATATGATTTGGACACTTCAGTAGTAATGGCCGGGGATGTAACTGCAGCCTGCTCTTGAATCGTCAGAGCAGCAATGTCTTAACAGCAGCAGCAGAAGAAATCTCATAGCAGACTTGTGATTAGAAGCGCAAGCCACATCACATGGAGGAAACACAAAACGGGAGGAGGGAAAAAATACAAAGCCCATGCAAAATTTATTGTAGTTCCGAAGCAAACCACAGATTAGCAAGGCTAGAAAACTCAGTTCCAGATTTCATTTGACGATATATGAAGGAGAAAACCCAAACACAATTCGTGGAGGAAAAAGAACAAGAACAAGAACACAACTAAGAGTCTGGGACTGAAACTAACTCTGAGGATAAACCAAGAAGGAACCCATTCATGATTCATGGAAGGAAAAATGCTGAGGGAAGATCCAAACCCCTTACCTGAAAACGAAGAACTCTCAAGATGAAGAGTGCTAGAGCGTGAGAGATTCAGAAGCAAGGAGTTGCCTATCATCTCTCCCTCCTATCCATTCCAGACTCTCTCTCTCTCTGGCTTTTAACAGCCTGTTCGTTCGGTCGTAAACGATCGTGGATTATAAATTAGAATAGTATTTTTCTCTCACACCAAACCAGCCAGCAGCAATAATTCACGATCGTATACTATCGTTGTCTACTCTTGTGGGCTTGTGGCACATGATTGGTGTGGTGACCTGCAGCTGCAACTACACTACTAGTCAACATCTGCCTCTCTGTTAATAAATTGCAGTTGCTTTCATTTGCTTATGCAGTTATGCTTTGTATTTTGTCCCTACTTGCTTAGAATTCTGGGAACACAGCAATACAGCATGACATCTCCCAAAATAACAAGCAAGGCTCACCAACCAACCATTCGAGCAGTTACGCTATTATTACAGGTACGAAGTTTTCTCATATGTTTCGCTGCCACACGTATGTATTTCCCTTTCGTTTAAGCTAACTCGTACAGCACAGCACCGTCTACATTTGGTTAACCTTAATCATACCAGAACTTACAAAAATTGGCCTTTTTCCAAATCAAACACGCGTACGTTGATGGAAGGAAGGATTACTAGTATAGTAAGATTAGGATTGGTCCTTCCCTGGCTAGACGGTTAGACTATTGCTACCTTGTGTGAACACAGCAAGGGAAGGCGGTGTCGAAAGATCCCCTGCTATGATACTGTAGCTGCTGCAGGTGTAGGTGCCGCACGGCTCACCTGCAGCACTGTAGCCACATGCAGAGGCCGGCGCAGAGTCAGTCCTGTTGTGTTATCTAGTTACTGTTGCAGCATGTGCGCTATACTAAGACTAGATGGATAGAGTTGTATAAATAGACTATCACGGGAACTCAGTAAAGAGAGTTCAGATTTGCCATCTCTCAGACAGGACTTCGACCAACGCTGGTGTCTTGTACTATGTGTGTATGCTCTGTTCTCCCTTCTTCTTCAAGCTCTAGCCATAGTGTGTGGGGACGGACAACGCTTATTCGTGGTCGGCACGGCTAGTGTGTGCTCGGCAACACTAGCGTGTGGTTCACTCACCTGAGTCGGTGATCCTGTGGGCCAACAAGTGGTATCAGAGCCGTACAAGCGTTGTCGCCAGACTAACCGCTGGCGATGACGGACAGTTTGGAGATGGGCGACAGCAGTGGGACTGCTGTGGCTGCCCAGCCACGACCGGAGGTCGTTGTTCGCACGGTGCGGGAGGTCAACGGCACCAGTAGGCCGATGCTGACTCGCACCAACTATGGAGAGTGGTCAGTGACCATAAAGGTCAAGCTCAGAGCCCGATGGCTCTGAAATGCTGTTGACAAGGATACCGACAATGAAGGCATGTCAACGTTGGAGGATATCCTCGCTGCTGTACCAGCGGAGTACAGGGAGCCGTTGGGGGCGAAGAGCTCGGCTAAGGAGGCGTGGGAGGCTATTGTGGTGATGCACGTCGGTTCCGACCGCGCAAAGAAGGCGACGGCCTAGCTTCTGAAGCAGGAGTACGCCAACCTCAAGTTCAAGGATGGTGAAACGATGGCGGACTTCTCCCTCCGCTGCAGACGCTCATCGGCAAGCTGAAGAGCCACGACGTCACCATTGACGAAGAAGAGGCGGTCTCCAAGTACCTCCACTCCGTGCCGGTAAAGTACATTCAGATCGCTCTCTCCATAGAGACGATGCTGGACTTGTCCACCCTCACTATTGAGGATGCGACAGACCGTCTACGGGCGGTGGACGAGCACCTGGAGCAGGTGACAGCAACGAAGGACAGCGGGAAACTCCTGCTAACGGAAGAGGAGTGGGCTGCTCGGAGGAACTCCGAGAAGGCAGCCTCCTCCCGCCGCAGTGGCGATGGCAAGCGCCGCGGCAAGGCTTCTTCGGAGAAGAAGAAGAAGCAGGTCGACTCCAACGCCTGTCGGTGCTGTGGAAAGATGGGCCATTGGGCACGGGAGTGCCCAAATCGCAAGCATGAAAAGAAGGCTGAGGCTCATCTAGCGTAAGCTGATGATGAGGATGAGGCCACTATCCTGATGGCGACGTTCTGTGCACTGCACGACGTCGAGGCCAAGGAGAGGGAAGAGGCGACGATGGTGGAAGGACCTAGGAAGGCCTTGAAGACCGTCAACCTCGATGAACCACGCGCCCAAGTCCACCTCGGACGTGTGGGCACCGACCAGAAGCAACGGTGGTATTTGGACTCTGGTGCCAGCAACCATATGACGGGCTCCAAGACATCTTTCTCCGAGCTCGACGACGATGTTACCGGTACAGTGAAGTTTGGTGACGGCTCAAGGGTGGCAATCCAAGATCACGGGACCATCATCTTCAGGTGCCAGAACGGGGAGCACCGCACGCTAACGGATGTATATTACATCCCGCAGCTGCGTTCCAGCATCATCAGCTTTGGTCAGCTAGATGAGCGCGGTAGCGAGGTACTGATCAAGGACAGAGTCCTTAGGATCAGGGACCAGGAGCAGCGACTCTCGCCAAGGTGAAGAGGTCCCTGAACCGGCTGTACCTGCTCGACCTGAAGGTAGAGCAGCCGGTGTGCCTAGCGGCAAGGCACTCCGAGGAACCATGGATGTGGCATGCCTGGTTCGGACATCTCAGCTTCGACGCGCTTGGTCGGCTAGAAAAGATGGTCCGAGGGCTACCCCACATCAAGCACGAAGGCGAGCTATGTGACAGCTGGCTAGGAAGTAGAGGAGGCTACCATTCCCAAAGGCGGCCAAGTATCATGCGAAGGATGCTATCAAGCTCATCCACGGCGACCTCTGTGGATCGATCACGCCTGCTATAAACGGTGGTCGGCGGTACTTCCTCCTGCTCGTGGATGATTGCAGTCGCTACATGTGGCTGCAACTCCTGACGAGCAAGGACGAAGCGGCGGCGGCGATCAAGAAGTTCAAGATGCGCGCGGAGGCCGAGAGCGGCAAGAAGCTCCACGTGCTGAGGACTGATCGTGGCGGCGAATTCACTTTGGTGGAGTTCGCTGCGTACTATTTGGATCAGGGTGTGGGGCTGAAAGGACCTAGGATGTTGCCTAGAGGGGGGTGAATAGGCGTTTCTGAAAAATCAACACCTTTAAAAGCGGAAACGATTAGTAATAGGAGTTTCCAAAATGGAAACTCCAAATCGAGTAATACCACCCCTCACAAGTTAGCCACAAAGTATATAAAAGATACTAGATAAACCTAGGGAGCCAAACAATGACAACCAAAGAGTTGAATCAAAATGCACTAGTCATTAATGTCGGAAGTCCCGACGTTTGGGTCGAGAACTTCGGCGTGTCGGAAGTCCCGACGATTGGTCGAGAACTTCCGACGTGTCGAAGTCCCAGCAGCTTTGAGTTAGAACTTCCAACATAAACTGTCAAGACTTCCGACCCCTACGGGAAATGAACTACAAGTGCTAAAATGAACTTTGTGATGCCGATAACTTACAAACCCACTTCCTAGTGGTAAGGTAAGGTGTTGGGTCACTCTCTTGACGTTGATAAGCCACCAATCCGTAGATCGAGTCCCAAACCCTAAGAAATAGCTAGAGAGAGGAGACAACCAAATACAAGTAATTTCGAGCAAATCACAACAACAACAAGCACGCATGGGAGACAAGAATTTATCCCGGTTCTCTTGGCAGCCCCACAAAGGAGCTCCCTCGTCCTCGTTGTTGAGGTGACCACAAAGGTCGGAGTCTCTTCCACCTCCTTGCCTCACTCAAGGATACCACAAAGGTCACTTGAGTTTCTTCACTAGAAAACAAGGGTAATACAAACTTCCCAAGGCTCTTCCACAAGATGGAAGCTCTTGGGCGACGCCTAACCGGCTAGGGAAAAATCCCGGGGAGTAACAAATGCAAATCAAACCGGCTTGACGAAGAAATCAAGTGCTCAAGCTTGCTCAAAGTGTTTTTCTCACTCAATCCACTCTCCAATCACTCAAACCCTTTGGGAATCGAAGTTGGAAGCAAGGGAGTGAAGAGAGGGGAGCCTAGAATGCTTGGGGGCTGTTTGGCCGAGTGTTTGTCGCAATGAAATGAGTGGGCAACGGTTAGAATGGAGGAGACGGGTATATATACTCCAAGGCAAAATCTAACCGTTCAGATCTCGTCGGGGAGTTCCGCGCAGATCTCGGACTTCCGACGTATGAAGAAAACACTTTGTTCAT